TTTTGGCAGAACCGGGGATTGAACTCAGGCCCTCGCGCTTGCCAGGAAAGCGCTTATTCCACTGAGCCATCTCCCTGGCCCCTAAAATTGTTTCTTTTAAATGATCCTCAGAATTGATACTGGACTTTAGAGAATTAAAGGCTGCAATTTATTGACATAATTATAGCTTCACGGTCAAAAAGCTGGACTCTCAGCACAATGGTTTTTTTAACATTCCTAAATCCTGGCACAGAGGTTCTTCACTATTTTGTAAGGTGTCTGATGCTTTCAAACAGATATTGTGGGGGAGAGGTCTGAACAGGAGGCAGCTTTAAAAAGTATTCTCAATGGAAATGATCCAAATTATGTAATCCACAATGAATGGAAGCAAAAGTTTAATCTTATACCATTTATATCTAATTTGAGTAACTCGATTCTGGCATAGTTTAATTTCTTGATATGATTTGAAATGGTCTGTAAAAATGACAAGTTATAAGAAAAACTATACATGGACATTATATCTGACATATTGCGGGGGTAGGGAAAGGGAAACATTTCCTTGTGGTAAATGCAGATAAAATCATGATGGCATAATTGAAATGTTGTTCAAACAGGAGAGCTGAGTAATTGCATGAGACTCTATGGCCAGCCACAAAACCTGGTTACTTTACAGAAGAAGTCTGCCCACTCTTGATCTGGAAGAATAGTTGCATGTCATTTCCTCAAACTGTTTTCCCTAGTTGATCTTCCTCTCAAGCAGCCTTTTGACAGGAATAGGTCTGAGACGATTCACATTTTATTTAGGTCAATAAACTTGGGAAGCCAAATGATTTAACACTGAAGTCAAATCAATAATTTTCACTGGATGGAAGGTATACATGTAGAGAGGCCATCCTAACGTAGCAGAAACAAAATTAAGTCATTTAAAACAAAGGTGTCACTTCAGTAAAAAGGATTTAAATAAATTAGAAATATATAAATTCTGACAACTAATTAAAAGGAATACTCTTAAAATTCATGCTATTACAAAGACTAAGGTTGTCCAAGTTTGCCCTTAAAATGAAAGTGTATCACTATATGAAAATGTATAATGCCTCGTGTACAAAACCATGGATTACTACAAAAATACTTCCACAAAGCTAGTCCCTTAAAGTTCAATCTAAAATATTACTTTGTCTAGAAATTTTCAGACATTAAACTATGTACCTAATACTTAAGCTCAAGCCTGCTATTAACTGTCTTTTAATAAATATATTCTGACCAGAGGTTACGTTTAGCATTCAAATAGCATCTATGTGCTTTGTTTTTAAGGTTAAATCCTAACAGAAAAGAAGGTATAAACACAAAGCAATGTATAGAAGAAAACACATTCTAATGGTGAAGAATGTGTGTACCTTGAAATGCTTAGTCTTTGGCGATCACTGCTCTTTAGATTGTCTTCCTGCGATGAATCCTGTCATTTGTTTAAAAAACAAAAAGTTAAAAAGTTGAATTATTAAATTTTACTTATTCCTGGCTCTTTTAGGCCAGAGATATGTTTCAACTTTTACAGAACACATCTTCAATGGGACAGCATAAAAGATTTCATCTCAAATTACAATGAAATATACAACCAAGCTATTTCATAAATTTCTAAATCACTTTGATTTAAAATATTAATGATTTAATTTTGTTTCAAAAATAAAACTCATATAGAATTGGAATCTTATAAATTTCTGAGCATATCAATCCTAAATCTATATTTTAGAAACTATGACATATTAATCAAATTATTGTTTTTCAAGTATACATGAATGAACTCCATGAGAAAGAGAAGTTTCTTGGTTAGTTCATATTTTTGTATTATAACCAAAATGTACTAAGATACTGTGTAGAAAGATCAGCATAAATTTCTCTCCACACAAACCAAATAAACTAGCAAGAACTTCATAAAGTCCCTATACTTATAAGCTTAAAACCCCTCTAATTTCATGTAAATTACTTTTTAAAGTGAAGATTAAAACCTATATAAGAATTTCATTAGTACTCTGAATGTGAGAGAGTAAAATAATAAAAGTGCTTCTTATAGGTGATATAGCAATTTCAGGTCTCATTTTAATAGAGCTAAAAATTACACTGCATTGTGGAGAGCTCTATGCAGGAAGGGGAAAACAGAATGGGCCCAAGAGTCAGGGGAGTTATGACACTAACAAAGCACATACCCTTGGATAGTGCTCTTCCCTATTTTCCATAGGAACTAAATAAATCAGTACTTTTAGTTTGTACCATTAATTTAAAAAGTTTCATTAGTGTATACTTAAACATGTATACTTAGAACGTATCACTGGAAATGTCCTCATTTTTAAAGTCAAAAATGTAAAAGAAAAAAAATCTGACAGTTTGGGCAAGAAATGTAAAGTTTTTTACATTTACGTGAAATTAAATTAGAGGGGTTTTTTAGCTTATAAGTATAGGGACTTTATGAAGTTCTTGCTAGTTTATTTGGTGTGTGTGGAGAGAAATTTATGCTGATCTTTCTACACCGTATCTTAGTACATTTTGGTTATAATACAAAAATATGAACTAACCAAGAAACTTCTCTTTCTCATGGAGTTCATTCATATATACTTGAAAAACAATAATTTGATTAATATGTCATAGTTTCTAAAGTAAATGTAAAGTTCAGTTACTAACAACTCAGAAAAATCAACTGTAAATCAACAATAAGCTTAAAGAGGTTGTTTCTAATACTCATAGATTTTTCATAGCCACTAATCAATTTGCAGTTTTGAAGGTAGTAATGGAGTTTCCCTAACCTGTAAAACAATGTCCAGAAGTCTTACATAAATGATAGTTCATGGATACAAACTATTAAGAAAGAATATTCACACTACAGTTCCTATATTACAGAATTTCAGAGAACTTTTAATACCCTACAGCCTATTGTAAATCTCTACATAGGCTATTAAGAACCTCAAACATCTTCCATATCAACTCAATTTTACTACTCTAGTGTCTACTATACTTTTTGAGCTCTAGAATTTGTATTTTTCTTGGTTATCAACTGTTCTGAAGGTAAATGGCTGAAATACTGGGGACACAGATCATCTAGAAAGATCCTAGTGTAACTGCTTTTGAAATCTTAATCTAACACCAAACTGTAACTAAATTCACTAACACAAAAGACAAAACAACAATAAATCTATGTAGGATGTTACTATATATTTCAAGCAATACTAAAAGTGTATTTCATAGAAAGTACCATCTTAAAAATTATTTGCAAATCTGATTACAGCAAGTTTATTAATGTGAACAGAATGTCTTTCCTGCTCTCAGATTCCCACATCTAAGAGTATTCTAATTAGCTACACCTCTGAAATAAGACATTTGTTAAAAGTAGATATTCCAAATAATGACATTTCAGGTTGAGATACCTGATGAATTTTTATCTCCACTTTTTGGCTTATTTCTTTATACTAGGATAGGCACTGTTTTTTTTTTTTTTGTTTGTTTGTTTTTCTTTTTTTCACACCTTTTCCCTATCACTAATAAGTGCTTGTTAAAGCAAGGTCTATTTTAAATCTCCATCCCTTCAGTATCCCTCCGTAATTTTACCTACAACTCTTAAAAGTCTGTTTCTCAAATTTAATTTCATCCTTAAAATGATGAAACTTTGTAAAGTGATAAAAGTTTGTAAGTTTTTCTAGAACTGTTTCTGTGATCTCACTGCTTTAGACAGATTTTGAAACGAAAGTAAAATTATTCCCTAGCACCATCTAGTGGAAAAGAGTAACAAGTCAGGAATGAAATTTTACCCTCAACCCTTAATACACAAGACACTTAAATGCACAGCCTTTTTGGATTAGTCTCATCAACTTATTCTGAAAAGTGCTTAGTGCTGAAGACAGTATATATGCCCTGATTTACACACAGTAATTTAATGTTGATGAGAAAAAATTAAGTACTTAAGGGGCATAGAAAGTAAGATCCTTGAAAAGTGAAATGATGTTCCTAATAGTACACCAACAACAATGTATGAGACTGGATTTTCATTACTCCACAATCTGCTTCCCATATCACAATGAAATATCCTTAAAAAGCTATCAAATTACTTCAAGTAGAATATCTATACTATTATAATCCAGAGCTGTAAATTGCAAATATTTTTTTACTAACATGTCTTTTTCAAAGGCTCTCAGAGACCATGTAATGGGCCTGTACAACAGGAGGGTAGAAGCCTTTGAAGAAATGGTATGTAGCTGGTCACATTCCAACCTGGACAATCAATTTCCAATATTAAGGAAAACAAAAGCCAAAACATGTTTTTGGCTCTAATAAGAATTAACAACAATTATCAGCGTTTCCTCTTTATAAGCGCTCCAAAGTAGGGTCTCTAAAGTGGGTTCTCACTGCCCTATTTAGAGGAATTCATCTGTTTAAGACTATTTTATTCTTTTACTTGGCTCATTCTTATCCAGTGATCACCTCTGCTAAAGATAATATAGAGGTAAGTGTTTGCTCTACGTAAGGACCTTTAGGATTTGGCAACACTAAGGCTGGCAGTGAAGAAGTACAGGAAGCACTTTCTTTTTTAGATAGTGGTATCCCAGACGAACAAAAACTAGAAGACTATCCTTAATAGTGTTGAGTGGAGGATTACTGAATTGTTTATAATACTTAGATAACAAAAATGCATGAAATGGTTATCTACTCCAGATTAGTGAACTTCAATCTCCTGGAAAAACTACTTTAAGATTTCTATTTGATACACAGCTCTCACACTCCCTTACTCCTAATTTTCTCTGTTGTCCTTAGCCCTGCATGTTACAGCATCTGAAAAAAAATTGTTAGAAATCAAAGTAAGGCATTAGTAAATGCACTCCTGGTGAGAACCTGAAAGACATCTATGTCCCAGTAGATGACTTCAGGCTAAGTACACTAGAGAACCATGTCAAGTTTTTTATTCTATAACTCTTGAATTCTTAGCTGTTGATTAAAGTTACTTTAAAAGTACATCTTCAAAAAAATAGGGTGTTATGATTTGTGTCTACATGTACGCCAAAAGCCTCATGCAATCATGGGGCAGCTTCTACAGTTTATGACTGACTCAGGGTCCAATGCTAGGATTATGGGTGAGAGTGGTACGCCCATCCTGGCTCAGACAGCCTGCATATAATATAAGGGAGAAAAAGAGTATTTTACTCTTGCTGTTTTTGCTGCTTTCTGTCACCATGAACTGTTGCCATCTGCCATGTGCCACTCTGCCTTGAGGCCAGCTCAGCAACAACAGTTAACGAAAATAGAATTTGGTACCAGAGACATGGGGCTGCTGTTGTGACTATCCCTGGTCATAGAATTTAGAAGCTTTTGGAAATGGCTTGTGGGAAGAGTGATGAAGATGTCCCCTGAAAAAGTAACTCTAGAACACCTTAGGCTGTTCTGTTTGGGAGATTCTTGTCAGAATCAGAACCAGAAAACTGATAGAAATCCTGCTGGTAAAAGACTGAGCTCGGGATGTTTCTGCTGGGAAGGAGGACAGCACTGGCTGTTGGAATCAAAACAATGTGTTATGGCTTGGCAGAAAGTTTGTCTGCATTTTGCTTCTGTTCAGAGTACCTACGATTGAGATAAGGGGGGTGTACTACTTAAGCTGGCAAATGAAATTTCATGGCAGTCAAATATGAAGCAGTGGCATAGCTACTGTTGAGAGCTTTTAGCTAGATTCATGTTGAGAATCAAGAGTAAAGAGCCGAGCAGGATGATTTAAAACATTGTGAGTTTGGCCAGAAAGGAAGGTGCAGTAAAGTTGTGGACTGTAAAGGTAGAGCAGAGGAAATATTAGTTGTTGAGAAGGAAGAGGATAATATACAAGATAGCCTGAGGGCATCACTTGCAGTGTTTCTATCCTTTGCAGCACTGAAACAGCAAAAGTGAAAGATTGCTTTGAGGAGAAAGCTGCAGAGCACCATGTTCTGGAATGCTGGCAGCCACACCATAAGCAGGAATGGGAGCAGCATAGAGAATTTGTTCCTCAGAACTGGATTCATTCAGAGTGCCCAGTAATCCAAGCACTTGACTCTTACAGCCAAGAAGGGAGGAAGCCTGGCTACTGTTCCATGTGGCAGCAGACACTGGCATCACCTATGTGGCACTGGTCTTACATGTATGCAGAATACAAGAGTTCTGAGGTTCAGCAAGCTTTCACCTGGATTTCAGAAGTGCTGGGAGGCCAGGCAGTGTGTCTGAGGACAGTGTGTGAAGTTGTAAGAATTGAAAGGTGCGGTGGACACCCAAGAAATTTGGAAAAGCCAGGAACTTGGAGGGTCTGAGGAAAGCTCCAATGAGGGAAAAAAGTAGGACCAAGAGAGAAGCTATGGGAGCTACAACTACCAGAAGTGCCACAGAAGTAGAGCCACATGGAGCTCACAATTCGCCAGATTGCATTAGATGCTGAATGTGGAACTACTAGACCTAATGTCTGCCCTGCTGGCCTTTGGACTTGCTTTGATCCCAATGCTTTGCATCCCCATTTGTACCTTTTAGAATAGTAATGTTTATCATGTGCCACTGAATGTTTGAAGTGTTTTAACTATTCATTTGTATGAGGGCTCATCTTGGAGACTTTGGACTTGAACTTTTCAGCAATGCTGAAACTGTTAGGACTTTGGCAAATCTTAAGAGAGAGACTGAAATGCCTTTTGCATAAAGGAATGTACATGAATTTTTGTGGGGCTAGGGGAAGAATGTTACGGTTTGCATCTAGATGTATTCCAAAGCCTCATGTAATCATGGGCTGGGCTTCTAGAGGATGAATGATTCATGGCCCAAAGCTGGGATTATGGGTGTGAGTGCTACACCCACCCAGAGGCAGGCAGCATACATACAACATAAGGGAGGGAAAGACACTTGCTCCTGGCTGCTCATCCACTTTTGCTCTTGTTGTTTTGCTGTTTTCTGCCACCATGAACTGTTTTTTTCATGAACTGTTGCCATCTGCCACGTGCCACTCTACCGTGGAGCCAGCTAAGAATGGACGGAAACTTTTACAAACAATGATCTATATATGCATTTCTTTAATCTTGGGCATTGTGTATTTTGTCTCAGCAATGAGAAAAAAGTAACCAAGGCATAAGGCCTATAAAGCTTTCTTGTTACCTGGTGGTTTTTCTTTAAAGAATTCTAAAAGTCAAGTTGTCACCTGCAATCTGTAAATAAATCTAAGTTAAAAAAAATGGGAAACTTAAAAACTTGAGTTGTTTCCAAACATCACAGGACAAAAAAGAAACTAAAGCAAAGAGAGTTTGAAGGAATGATTATATAACTTAATAGGCATTTAAAATCTCTTATGGGGTGCCGGGGAGATGGCTCAGTAGAATAAGTGCTTCCCTGGCAAGCTCAAGTGCCTGAGTTCAATCCCTGGTTCCACAAAAACAAACAAAACAAAACAAAACAAAACACAACACACAAAACAACACAACACAACACAACACAAACCAAACCAAAACAAAATAAAAAATAAAATATAAAATAAAATAAAATATAAAATAGAATAGAATAGAATAGAATAGAATAAAATAAAATAAAATCTCTTAGAAACAAAATTATGTAATTGTAGGGCCAAACTAAAAGTACACAATATAAATTTTAGTAGAAATCATTAAAAAAGATACATGAGTTTTTCACTAAATGAAAACATGCCTAAGTAATTATAATTAATGATAACTGCGTAATATTTTATAGTGCACAAAGAATACTAAATTTCTCAACTTAGTAATTTTGTAATACCATTTGTTTGGCTTTTTGTAGCTCTATTTTGAGATCATTACATTCTTTTTTCATCAGCTCCAGCTCCTGTTCCAAACCATGGATCTTCAGGTCACAGCTCAACTTTTCCACCTCCCAGTTTGAAGAAGGTGGATTTAAATTCCTCATCACTACAAAAAGGATTAACATCAATATTGTTATCTGTGCTTTTCTGCACTGATTGCAATTCTAAAAACATTATGATGGTAAAATACAGATCAGAAAAAAATAAATGTAAAACATACACAACAATTAATAGTTTTTAAGGACAGTAATTACTTTCAAAAATCAATGTTAATGACAGAAAAAAAATCTAATCCTGTTTTAGATGTATTAATTACCCAACTCTAGTTTTCTATTTAAAATCAACTATAAATTTGTCAGCTTCAAATTTTTACAGATAACCATACTAATCAAATATATGATCAAATGTAGACCGATTGCTAAACTATTCTGTATAATCCAGACTTAAGATAAGCCTCAGTTAATCATTTTACCTAGTTTCTTTAGAGTACAAAGGTTGGCCAATAGCCTAGAACCCGTTGTCAAAACAAGTCTATAGATAAGCATTCCACTGTAGAAACTCAGTACAACTTGATTCTGTCTTTCCTTTGATATGATTCTTTAGTCTCTCCATGTACAAAAAGCTCTAACCAGTTATGATATGAAATCTATTAATTTTCTATCCAAAAGTATCTCAGTGGCCTATTCTTCAGCTTATTTCATGGGAACAGACTCTTAATTTATAACCATAAGATCAAACTTTCCACCTCAACATTTCATCTGTATCTTTTAACAATTTTTAGAAAGAAAGAAAGAAAATGGAATGAAAGCACTTCGTAAGTTTCTAAAAAGTTCAGTGCAAAGGGTAAGGGTAAGACAGGACAGTTCTACCAGTGAGGCAGAACTTTTAGATCTGAAGGTGGGGTTTTACTCTTTTCCTCCTCTACTTCATCAAAACCAGCCTTGAATAAAAACCATCAAGTTTAAAGAAGAGTACAGCTTCTAGCTACAAAAAAGTTAAATGAAATGCATTATATGAAAGAGCAGAAAAATTAACATAAGCCAAAAATTAAAAATAAGTTACGGCCACAGAATGAATATATTTATCTGATAATATAACATGCAAAGTAAAACATGTATTAATTTTGTTAGCATTTGTACAACAAGTAAGTGGCATACCCTGCTGAGTTTCCACCTCTGTTCTCAGCTGGAGGAGTTCTACTTCTTTAGATTGTAGCTGCTCATTCAATACTTTCAAAGATTCAGAGTTGTCTTTATTCTATTTAAGTAGGGAAAATGCCAAATTACATTTAATAAAATCTTTCTCTATATATATGTTGGTATTATACCCTAACTTTCAGGTAGATACTGAAAAAAAGTTAAATCTAGCCTTTAAAAGTAAGTTGGGAAAATGAACCCAGTTTCTCACTAATCTTCATTCTTTGTCTCAGGACATAACTAATTCAACAGCTTTTTTCTTATAAACACAGTTCTACGATCGCATGGTTTTTCAAAATAAATTAGTGGTGTTAGATTAACGTATTTAAGTCCTAAAGAGCATTACAAAGTAATTATTTACTTTCATATTGAAATAAAGTACAAATACAACTTAAAAATTCCATTTGTCCTTGAAATATATTTTAAATTTCTAATTAACAAATATGAACATTTAACTTCTTTTTATTTTTAAATCTCTTGAAAAAGAACTCATTTGTAATAAAGAGATCATTTTTTTCAGACCAACTTACCATTTTATCCAATTTGCTTTTCAAATTATCTCTATCAATGCAAACCTCTCGATATGCATGATAAGCCTTATTTACTTGTTCTCGTCCCACAGAACTTGTTTCTTCATCTAGTCGAGCTCCTACAAGCTAATGGTATGAAATTAGAAAGAACGCTTAAGAGGATATGCTATGAAAGAGAAGTAGGTCTGATAGCCCTATAACTTCAATTGTAATACAGAGATAAAGCCCCATCTATAATAAAGTATTTCATTTCTAAGCAATTAATCTTTACTGACTGAGACAGCAAGAGTTCAGAATAAGTTTATCATTTCTCTGTTTTTAATTCGTATATAGTAGATATTTTATAACACATTAAACTATCATATTACAGCACAGTACATTATTCTTGGGTGTACAGGGTGTTCAGGGTCTCACTACCACATCGGACTCGTGATCTGCCTGTTTACAGCCTTCCAAGACCTGGGATTACAGGTGCACACCACCACGCCCAGTCTTACATTATTCTTTTAAAGTGTTTTGGCACTCTTCAAGTCTATAGTGTCTCATTTCCACCATCAGAAAAAGTATCATGTTAAGCCATACTCAACATTTTCCATGTAAGGAAAAAGACATGGCAGTTTATTCCTTCTTGTATTACTGTAGAATAAAAATAGGCTTGTAAGTCATAAAGTACAGAATTATTTCCAGTATTATATATCAAATCCCATTTTTCTACTGAATTTCAAAATACAGCTGTGCTAAAAAGTTATCTTCTCTCTTTATTCCAGTACATCAGATTCAATCACTCATATGAATGGAAAGAAACTAAGACAATTTTTACAGCTGACTCCTCTTACTGGACTTTATACGAAATCAACTCTATCAATGCTCCACCCTGAAGTTTTTGATTTTTTTCACTCAGTCATGTCCTTTCTCACTCCCTCAAAGGATGCAAAAAACAGTAATTGAGGCAAATGACAGTTGCAGAGAAACCACATAAGGAGCCAGAGAACATTTTGTGTCTTCCTTGTGGTTTTTGTGCTCTATTCATTCAGAGAACTTCTCTAGAACAGAACTACAGAAATGATCTCTGAAAGCACAGCCTTCTAAGTTTTTTAGTACAGGATAATTATTTTCTTAGATTGATGAAAGCTCATTATCCTAACTCTTGTGATAGCTGCTTTTTGTAAGTTATAAATCTGATCTGAAGAAACACAAAGGAAAATTAAAATAAGCCTTAAAAATAAATGAACAATTAAGGAAGATTTCCAAATTCAGAAGACCAAACAAGAGTGGTAATTTACACCGAATTAGTTACCATACTATAAATTTCATAACACATATAAGTCAGCATTCAGAATGAAACAAATAAATGTTTATCAGTTAAAACTAATTTTTTTTTTTTTTTTAAATGTTTTCAGTACAGAGTCTACAGGGTCTCACTACACAGATTGGACTCATAGTGATCCATCCTTCTGTTTTCAGCCTCCCAAACTCTGGGATTACAGGCACGTACCACCACACCCAGTCTCAGTTGCCCTCTCAGCATGCACCAGGGGCAGGGCCAGCACCACAAGCTGGGGATTGAATCCCAAAACTATTATTTATACTATGTGTGGAAGAAAAAAAGGAATGCAAAGGTAAAGATTCTGGTCTTGGTGAAGAACTTATTGAACATATTTAATGCTCTAGCAACTTTTCTCCACTGGTATTCCTCCATTTAATTTCCTCACTTTTTTGCACAGATTTGAATATTCTTAAGATTTTTGCAGCTATAAAGGTAAGGCAATCTAAGAAAAAAAATTGGAATAGAACATCTCCAAGTTGTTAAATCCTATTGTAAAAATATTTGCTAAGCACATGATAAATGAAATATAGTAGGGTAACTTTACTACCCAAGAATTCTGAGATTCATAGTAACTTGTCTTTGGAAATGTAGTACAATGAAGGACTACAAAGCAGAAAATATTTTCTATGCATTCTAAATTACTATTTACATCATAAACATGAAAGTAGATGAAAAACTTACCTTTTCTTCCAAAAACCTTATTCTTTTCTTTAGGAAAGAGTTCTCTTTCTCCGAATCATTAAGTCGTTTTTTGATGTCTTCGTAAGCAGTGACCAAGGCAAAATGTGAAGCAACAGACTCATCTCCTGAATATAATGAAACTGGAGTCACTGTATCTCTTCTATGAGCTTTTTCATGATTCAGAATGCAGATATCATCTTCTACTAGTGCATCCATGACAGCTACTTAAAAAAAAAATGAACAGGAAAAAGATATATTTAGAAATGACTTACTGGGACAGTGTTGACAATGCCAACTTTTTTTTATAAGTAGTAATACACAATTGTTAGGAGCACAGCTGCCTCATTTATAATCCAAGTTCTATTAGGTAGAGTTTGTCTGAGTTTGAGCAAGAATATTTAATGATTAAAAGCCACAAAGAATTTAAATCTATAATCTATTATTAGAAAGTTTTATAAAAAGCTGCAAAATACCATTTTCATTGAAAGAATCAAAATTTTTATGCCTTTATTTGTTCATCTTAAAAATAATAAACAGTAAGTTTTACAGTTTTTCACACTATACGTTTTCAAAAATGCTTTGAATACAACTCATATTATGCAATTTTTAATATACTGTTTACTGTACATTCTTTCATTATAAGACTTTAGCTATGTTGTCATGCATTCACAATAGTAGACAAACTGATTAATGTTTGAGTGTCCACTACGTTTCCATACACTTTTTTTTTTGGTGGTGCAAGGGATCAAATGGAAAACTCCATACATGTTGTGCAAATGTTCTGTTGCTGAGTCACATCACCAGACCTACTACGTTCTTTCTGTATTATCTAACTTAATGATACAAGCAATTCTGTGAGGCAAAGATCATGCATATTTTACAGTAATAAAACTTACTATAAACTATAGCAACTTGTCTAGATATGGGCATTTATAGGCACAATCTTGACTTCTGTGAGGCCAGAGGCATGTATTTTGTCCACTATTATGACTCTTGACTCATCAGTGTGTAGAAGACATTCAATAAATATTTGATTCCTACAGGAAGAATGGATAGACTTATACTGAACTCTGACTCCAAGTTACCTTCATTTAATGAAAGACATACTTTCTCTGTACATTTGTTATTCAATTTAGCATTACTCCCCCATCCAAGTTAGTTCTTACAAAAAAAAATTATTGAAAAAGAAAATGGTAGTTCAAGTCTTCGAAGAAGGCATAGGTGAAAAACTCAGCATCTAAAATATCACAAATATCCTGTAGTTTAAACTAAAACACTAAATACAGCATTCTAACTAAAGATGATCAATGGAATTTCATCTATCTTAGGTTAGTAATTAATGATTACTGAAAAGTTTTGCTATTCCTTCCTTGATATGAAAGCTGATTACTAGTATCAGTCACGTTTTAAGAGCATTACAAGAAAATGAGGTAGAAGGAATTCAAGTCAGTCTTTCAACCGAATACAGTTAAGTGAAGAGCTGAGATGCAAACAACCAATTTAGCCCTCCAGTCCAAGCTTCACTATGCCTGCTTTCTTCTAAAACTCCTTTCCTATATCAACTGATGCCTACAAAGTGGGTTTGTTAAACTCTTATTTCAGACAACATGACTACTTCATGAATGAAAAGTTTTTCTTATAATATTCTGACTCTGGTCTAAGTTAGCTTTTCTACTTTATAACTAAAAACTTGTAATTCCTGTCAAATTAACGCAAAGTTTGGAGTGTCTTAAGTGATTTGCCTATGTAGGATTCAAGATAGGATGGTAAAAATTCATGTATACACTCCAACTCTTTAGTAGATAAAACCTACAAACACCAATTTAAATTGGTGGGCAAAAAGGCAGGCCCTGTGTGCTGTTTTTAACTATATAAGAAACTTTTTATATATTTTTATTAGTGCATATTAATTATACAAAATGTGATTCACTATAGCATTTTTGTATAGGCATACAACATACTTCAAATTTTAACATCCCTCCTTACCTTCACCTCTCAATACAACTCCTACTCTGAAATCCCCAGTCTATGAATAAAATCCAACAAAAATGGGCTATGCTATTTTACAAAAAGTGGCAGATTCTCATTAACGTAATTAACTCATGCTGATTCTGATGTAAGCCAACCTTCTAATAATAAGCTGTTTAGGATTTCTTCCCCTGACAGGATTTACATTTCTCCTTCTGAGCTTCAACTGTATTCCAACAGTAGTAATCATACCAAACATACTGTTGCTAGTCAAAACCTTCACTATTTGCTTAGCAATAGGAAATTACAGTTTATTTCCAATATTACAAACTGCAAGTATGGGTATGTATCTGCATGTAAGATTCACCCTCACATATATATATATACTGTTTTTTAAAAGTAAAGTAAGAGTAGCTGGCTGCTTAAGTGTTAGGATGCAGTCTAAAGAGGTAAAATCTAAATTAAAAATAAAATTGACATGCATGGAGCATAAAATGCTTTACACCATCAAAAAATAGATGTTTTACTTTGTATTGTGCAAGAATCTGAGCTTTTACATTCCTGCTTTTCATAAGCTCACTTGTGATTCTTGTATTAACTCCTTTTTATCATGAAACAATAATATACTAAGGAAGAAAACCCAATGTGAGAGACTGTTGAGCAAAACCGTAGTTACAATAATTCCAGGTTATATACTTGCATCAATACAATGTACTTTGGGGGTGGGGGACAGGAAGGAGGAATGGTTTTCAAAGTTTAAAGACCTCAAAGACTGAGGAGGAAAGTTGAAAAGCGTAAGGTCAGCAAGTCAAAATAAAACAAATGTGATAGCCTTTTATGACAGGGACTATAGATTTTGGTTTTTAATCTGTAGAATTTTTAAAAAGACCTGAATATCATTATACATACTTACTAAAAATACTGACAACTGCTATGGTACGGACAAGTTTCATCTGAAGATGCAATCTATAGGGTGGAAGTATTAGTTAACGGAGCGGTAAGGAAAAGCCACAGATCCTTGATGATGTACCCTAACAGAGGATGCTGGGTCCTTGGTCTAGTACTCTTCCTTTCTTTCTGCGTCCTGGCTTGTGATTTGAGTGGTTTGCTCCCATATATGCTACAGTCAGAGGCCAAAAGCCTAATGGGTAATTAAACCTCAAAAATTGAGCTAAGTAACATTTTCTTCATGAGTGTCCTATCACAGGTATTTCACTATAGTAACACAATGCTGATTAATACAACTAAATCAACTAATTAGTGGTATGTTCATAAATATTATTTCATTTAATTTTCTTGACCACCCAATTAAGTAGTTTTTTTGTGGTAAAATCATGTTAAACCCATGCCACAGATGAAAAAAGTGGGACTCAAAAAAAGGTCATGAAGTTTATTCAAGATCAGATAATTAATATACAAAAGAGGAACTTTTAAGATTTCAAAACCTAGACTATTATTTTCCTTGCCTAGTAAATCTTTTATAAAACCTCAGTTATAAAGAATTATAGTACTAGAACCCCACAGAAGGCTTATAAGTATTTTTGATGGGGGTGTGTTCACTCAGCGTCAACAGGGTCACATTTTATACATCATTTTTAACCAAGTGAATAGCTAGACTTATGTATTTATGTTAGCTTTGTGCAGTGGTTGATTGTGTCAACTTGAGAAGTTTACTTAACTAAATTGGCTCAGCAATTCTACACTCCCTTTTATACCATTACTTAGAAGATATAAAAGGGAAATGAAGGAGGGACTTGCTTCTGTTCTTCAGAGGAGCTCCCATCTTCATCTTCAATGTTGTATCCTGGCTGCAAGTGCAGACTCTGGCTTCTGCCATGGATCCTTCAGCCTTCTGGTGTAAACTTCTAAGCCTTTCATTGTAGACCTATGGGCCTCCAGATACAGACTTCTTTGGTCTCCAGTGTGCAAGACACCCTCTCCAAGCTTCCTCATCCAACTCTGTGCCTGACCACCGTAAACTAATCTGGTAATTTCTTACATATTTGTACATGTTGTGTTATATCTGTTTCTCCAGTAAAACCCTGACTGATGGAGATTTTGGTACTGGGAGTGGGGCCTCTGTTGTGATGTTGTCTGGTCATGTGACTTGACAGCCTTGGGAATTAATTTGGAAAAGTTTTAACAGATTGGGCAGAGACAGCCCTGTGTGCTGTAAACTATATTGGAGACTCTGGTTGGAGCCTGGAAAATCAAGAACATTGATGAAATGCTGCCACTTAAGATGAAGCTCAGAAGGCTTTGAGAACTGCATTGACTGCTGGACTCCAGGTAATGTATTGTGCTTTGGCAGAAATTTGGGCTACATTTTGCTTTGTTCAGTGATATTGCCGGGGTTTCAAGGATGAAATAGAGAATGTTAAAACAGGACAATAAAAAATAAAATAAAACCTTTGCATCTAAAGAGAGTATTTAAATTGCAGGAGACCCTTTCCTTCAGTCTTGCCATTCATGGGACATAAGGGCTATGATTGTAATAGTTCCTTTAATATGTTTCTAACGACATTTTTAGATACACGTTTGTAATCATGTTAATTAGTCAAACTATAGTATTTTAAGTCTGACTTTTGGTTACCCTTTAAATATTTTGCTTTTGGTATGGGAATGAATGAAAAAAAAATTGCACATGTCTAATTGTAATATCAGTGTAAATCTAAATAGGCTAAGACACATTAACCAATCTGCCACTAGAAACTAGTATAAGAATCTATGTATGGTTATCAAGTTGACCAGAAGTGGATTGTGGTAGACTGCCAACTTGCGGTCAACTTGTTACACCCAGAACTGAACTGGTGTGGTGCTGGGGTGTGGGAGGCCCTCCTGATAATTATTGCTAGCAGTGTATTTCTAGTTCAGCTCATACAACTCAATGACTTACTGAAAGCCTGTCTGGAAAAGAGGGAAGGGAGTGGAGCTTAAAGGAAAGGCCAACATTTCCACTGTTAGAACTACCAATAAATAAATAAATAGCAGTGTAGAACAATGTCTTAGAATTACATGAAGTTCTGTTAAAAAATAATGGCTACTTAGCTCAATCGCAGATTTATGTAAATCAGAATATCTGCAGGGAAAATTTCCAATTGCACTTTCAAGAAGCACCATAGGTGACTTTAAGTTCCACACAAATGAGAATCACTCATCTAGATATAATAATGCTAAGGAGCAATACGGTCTATAGAATTTTAATTGTAATTTTTCAACACTTGTAGACAAAACTAGTTGACTTACAAATTGGCAAAAACAGCCTAACTTTCTATTAATTTTGTTTTGAATAATACAGGAACTAACTTTCTATTTATCATTTAATCTCATTACAGCAGTGCTAGAGTTAGATGCAGTACACCTAAAAGCAAACACATCTATATGTGGTCATACAAACATTTTATGTATTTGACTATTCAATTTTATTTCTTCTAAGACGTTTATATAAGTATAAATTAAAGAGAGAATTGAGACGAAAGACACTGATAATTTTTCTTTTTTGTCAGGCAAGCACTTATTCTACTGAGCTATCTCCCTGGCCCTGACAATTATTATTAATATCAGTAAAATTCCAGGAACAATGATAGAAAAAGGCAGTTTGTCAGGTAAGGTGGGTAGAAAAGAGAAGGGTCATACCTGTGGGCAGTGGAGAGATGTAAGGGGAAAAGAAAGGTTTAAACACTATTAATCATAAGTATTTTAAAATATTTTAAATTGCAGCCCTCAGTTCTTTATATTACATATACTGGGACTTGGTATAGAACATTACAGAAATATCTCTGACACTAGATTGTTCTTTTTTCTGGGAATAAATACTAGTATTGGACCCTTTGCAACATTGCTATATCTACATCTACTGATCACATATTCATTTTCCTACTTCTTAGGTAGGTACTATTATTCTAGTTCATAAACTAAGTCTATGAAAATTACTTATGGCTATACAACAAACCAGTGGCGATGTTGGAATGTGAACCCAGATATGCTATCTTGACACACATTCTGAGAGGCAATGCAAAACAGATTTGCTTATTTGAATCAGAATCTGAACAAAGCAGTAGTCTATGATAGAATAAACTCTGATTAAAGATGTAAAAAACAAGATCTCTCCAACTTGACTATATATTTGGTCACCTATCTGAATCTATACTTTGCCAATTATAAATGATACAGTTGGACTACATCACTAAGATTTTTACCTTCTTAATTTGTGAAGGCAAAGTTTTAATCGAAATACAAAATGATGGGCTGGGGTGATAGCTCAGCAGTCCAAGTGCCTGCCTGGCAAACACAAGGACCTGGTTCAATCCCCAGTACAATATGCTGTGCCAGCTCTGGAACCCTAGGCACATGGTATTGGCCATGGTGGTACGTGCCTGTAATTCAGAAATTTGGGAGGCTGAGACAGGAGGATCACTACAAGCTGAGCCAGGGCTGTGTAGCAAGACCTTGTACCAAATAAATAAATAAATGATTAATTTTTTTTTTTTTTTAAATACAAGATGACAATCCAAATAGAGGAATTCACATTTGTTCAGAAAGTAATATGTAAAATTGCAGGATTTCATGCCTACATCAAATTTGGCAAGAAAGGATTATCATCAGCATAACTGAGGCTCAAAGAGGACAGCTATATTTTCTACAATCCCATGAGCAAGCCAGTGAGATAGCTCAGCAGACTAAGGCCTGTATAGGAAAGCAGAGGGACTGGGGTTGAATCCCTGGTTCCATGTGCTGTGCCACAGCCAGCCTCACCCCCGGGGTGCAGAGTGGAGTACAGGTACAGTGGATCACTTTGCATCTGGGCTGTGTAGTGAGAACCTGTACCAAATACATAAATACACACACACACACAAAAAAAAAAACAAAAAAACATGAGCAATATGTGACTGTGATGGAAGTTTGAAACAAGACCTACATAGCTCTTTTTATTCTGCTCTGCTCTTTGAAGTCTAGAGAATTTCCATCACCTTTTTACTTCTCAGAAGTTAGGATATTCTTGAACTCACTTCATATAATCAGTGAAAATACTATGGGACAAAGATAGAACACATGACCTACAGTAGTGTTCTACAAATGAGGTACACATACAATACTTCTTATTCTCTATTAATAATAAAATAATCAGGGGAAGAAAAGCTCTCGCTTATAACAAAGGGATCATCACACACCCTATAACTTCAGCTTTGTGCCTTAGAAATCAAATGTTCTATAATTAAACAAGTGCCCAAAATGTATTCAACATCAGATATACAATATAAAAAGTTCCACTTTCATTTTTATGATCCTAACTCACTAACTGCCTTAGACTACAAATCAGTTTACGTGGTCAGAAAATCGTAAGACCCCTACAGGGATAGCACAGTAAGAAGTCTATTTTTCTTCATTCGTTTAATGTATCTCAGTGCAACTGTAGCACCCATTATACCTTGAATGTTACTGATTTTATCAATAATTATGTTCTAACAAGAACAAGACAATTATACTTTGACTCAGAATATAAATTATTTAATAGTTATATTGATTTTATTACTTTGGATTTAAAATCATCACATTATTTTACTTAATCATGATATTCTGTATTTGTAATTAATATTAATCAAGTGTTTTGCAGGTAATGCACATCCCCTTTTGGAGAACTAGTTTTTGTTCTAACAATTTACTATATCTATGTAAAACCTTTGAGGTGGGCAAGTACCTTCACATTCTATAGTTAAGGAGACATGAACATGGGTAGCTGATTCATGTGGTGGCATAACTCTTGAAAGTAGTTTCAGTGTCTTAGTGTAAGTATTACCCTTATTTTAGAGACAGGGTAGACCAGGAGAATAACGTTTAACCTATTATCCACCGTCAAATGAATACAAGAAAAAAACAGCCCTTAGATCCTGGACCTCTGACCTGATCCAGTCCCATTTCTCAATACTAGGTGGTCTCTTTAATATAAAACCTTGTATACGCACACAATTTTTCACTTACCAACAATACTGCATTCAAATTTTGTAACCATCCTTGAATTTTTTTCTTTCCTTTTTTTTTTTTGGAGGGGGAACCGGGGATTGAACTCAGGCCCTCATGCTTGCCAGGCAAGGGCTTAATTCTGCTGAGCTATCTCCCGAGCCCCCATCCTTGAATTCTCTACTCTTCCCATTTACAGAAAATGTAGTGATTACAACAGACTGGGGACATTGAAAGGTTTTTAGAGAACTACAATGTAGTTTATGCCTTAAGATCTTGCTCAATCCAACTCAAAAACCCCAAAGAAAGTGCCTTCTGTGTTGAAGGACCAGAATCATTTTCAACCCTACTACTTCAGTGTCTTTGTTCATCTTAGGTATTTCCAACACAATCCGTTTGAATTAATTTATGTTTTGCTTTGTACACGTTTTTGTGGGTATGTTATCTCATTCTCCTTCATCCGAGTTCCTTGTGCTTAGGGGACGAAGGTCTATCTTGCAAGAAATAACCAAAAATGGGTTTCAATACGTGGGCTAGACTCTGGACAAACGACGAACAGTTACGCTACCTCCTAATAAAGAGCAGAGCAGAGGTTTGGGCAGAACCACTGTAGTCAAACGCCTCTCATTCCTTTCACTCTCTTCCTTCTCAGTGAAAGAAACGAAACTGAAGGCGCCCCAGCAAACCAGAGCACAGGAAGAAAATGAACAATGGGTGACAAGTGAAGGGCAGGAGGGGTCGGCAGGAGCGGGCCGCGGCGGGGGCAAGGAGTGCGCGGGTGGGCCTCTCCCTGGTGGGATGGGGCGCGGGAGAGGGTGCGGGGAGCGAACGCGTCCCACCCCGGCCACGGCACGGGGCACGGCCGCGCCGCAGCTCTCACGCGGCGCGCCACTTCACTCACCCTGAACCCCGGCAACGTAGGGCCGCCCCCGGGACCGCCGAATTTCGATTCCCCAACTGTTTGGAAACGGACTGAAAACAAACCGGGTCGACCAG